CGGCGGGGTGCGCGCCGAGAGCAAGCGCCATCGCTACACGGAACATGAACATGGAAAGAATCACCCAGGATGTGACTCCGAAGGTGATCGAGATGGGCAGCTTGGAATCGCCGAAACGAGTTTGAGCCCAAACTGGCCACGGAAATCACCAGGACAATCTGAACCCACATGGTTATCGCCGAGAGACCGAGAGCCGCGAGGTCGTAAATGGCCCTACCCGCTGATCCGAGGTCGAGGGCTCTGGTCGTCTCGCTGGCCTGGCTCTGGTGGCACTCCTCATCCTCAGCTTCTCCGCGGGATCCCGAGGCCCGGACTGTCGCGAGGCTGCTCCACTGAGCTCGCGACTGGTACTGGTCGCTAAACTCGAGCTCGATCGATAAGTGCCGTCCCCGGGCTCGACCCCAGCGCACGGTGCTGTACTCGACTTGATTGAAGCTGAGGGGAAGGAGGTAGAGGACAACCCTGTAAGCGCTCATCTCTCCGCTGGCGCTCATCACAGGTGGCGGTTGCCCAGTGGCCAGTACAAAGGAAGACGCTGTCAGAAAAAGATACTTCCGAAGCGCACTGTCTGGGGTAGTGTGGCCCCCCTTAGTCTCCCGCACGATATCGGCCATGCGGTGACCGGAGCCCAGCTTGGCGGCAGGAATGCCCTGAGCTAAAAACTGCGAAATCAGAAGATTACGAAGAAGGTCGAGCACGCAGCCTAAGAAATCCAGCAGGTTGACGCTCAGTATATGCGGAACGTCCTCGTTCAGCACCGCGGTCTCCACAACTCCCATCACTCCGCCGAGGCACATCGGATACAGGATGGTACCGATCACTTTTGCCTCGCCTCCGATGCCATGCGCCTTCTTGGGCGCCTTGAACTCTCCTGGTACTACTACGTAGCGAAGACCGTGACGAGCCATCGCATCGGCTTCTCGGTTCAGCGATGGCAGCCCCACTATGTCGCTGCCAGCTCCTGGGTCCACGAGGCCCTGTGTCACCGAGGCGTTGAGGTAGACCTCGATGGCCTGCGCCTCCTTCCGGATGCCCTTCAGCTTCTCGAGCTCGTCGTTGTTCATGATCGGGTAGCTGCAGCCGTCGAACGTGTACCCGGCTAGGCCTCGCTTTGACCGATCAGAACCCTTGCCGCTGTCCTCCTTCCGCGGCCGAGGACACTCCCGTGACCAGTGGCCCTTCTCGTTGCAGTTCTTGCAGCGGGTGACCTTCATGAACCTAAAAATTCTCTGACTCGTGGCGCCGGTATCCTTTAGCCTGTCTCCTCGGCCTCGGCCGCGCGCGCGGCCTCGGCCGCCTGCGCCGCCTCGGCCACCGCCGCCGCGGCGTCCGTCGTCGTCGCCCCGGCGAGGTCGTGCACCGTAGAACTCGCGGTCCTGCTTCGCCGCGCGCTTCAGGTCCTTGTTCTGCTTCCAGGACCTGCGCTGCACCTTGCCTGTCATCTGCACGAAGGCCTCGGTGGCATCGTCCTCATCGAGATCCAGATCCTCGATCTCCGCCAAAATGGCCATGAGGTCTGTCTCGGATAGTTCCTCGTCTTCGTCTGGATCCTCCCCCGGCTCGTCGTAGCACGATTCTTCGTCCTGTCGAGCGGTCCCGGAGCCCGAGACCTGGTAAGCCTGGGAGGACGAAGGAGGAAAAGGGGGAGAGCTGTGGCCTCGCCCGCCCTCGCCGTCTTTTGCGGCCAAGACTGGGTGCGAAGCACTACTGCCAGGCAGCAGCTTCTCGCCGCTGCCGTAGTCGAGCTGCCTAAGAGCCCAGGCCACGTCCCGGTAGTCCAGGCTGCCCTTGGTGAGGGCGCGCAGGTTCTGTTGACATTGTGCGCTCAGTCCCGCGCCCTCCTCGAGCATAAGACCCTTCATTTTATCTGACATCCATATGTCGTGGCTCTCGGCGTCGGTCATCTGCTGATCGCGCCTCGCTACGAACTGCGTGAGGCTCTCCTTCGGGCCCTTCGTGCACTCGAACAGTGCCCTGCGACCTGCTCGACGCATGTCGTCGCCCTCTCGCTGGCCGCTCATGAGGTCCATTCTCTCGAGGAGAGTGTCCAGCCAGCGGGGCCCGCACAGCACATTCTCGCTGATGTCCTCGAACTTCGCCTGCATCGTCCAGTCGAACAGCTTCAAGAAGCGCTCTGACCGCCTCCACAGCTGCACGTCAGTGTTGCGGCTCCACCGCTGGATCGCCTTTTCCACAGGCGGTAGTGGCCCCATCCTGGCCAGAAAGGTGGGTCTGAATAGTCGCCCTTTGACCAGCCGCCCTCGTTCCAGTTGTGGTTCCTCCAGCCGCCCTTGTCGTTGTCCCTCCAGTCGGAGTCCCTGACGCCATCCCGCTTGGTGTCCTGCTGCTGTCGGCCCCCGGGGCCCCATTTGTTCTCGTCAGGCTCCGGCTGTCCACTCTTCCATGGATCGCGGCCGTCGCTCCAGGGATCTTGACCCCTCGAGCTCTCCTGCCGGCCATTCTTGGTGCCGCTGTAGTCGTCGTCCGCGCCGGCGGCGCTGTGGCTGAACCCTGGGCCGAGGTTCTTCACTGCGTCCTTCACGGCCTGTTGGATCAGCTGCTTCAGCTGCTCTGTGACCTGTGGGCTCGAGCTCGCAGCGCCTCCGACGGGTGGCGGTGGCGCCGTCCCCTCCCCAGTCCCCTCTGACTGGGCTGAGCGCCCTCCGCCAATGACGGCGTACGTCTCGTTCTTCTCATCTCCTGGGCCAGTGTCATCTGGCCCTGGCATCAATGCCTGCCGTGGATCCGCGCTCTGTCCAGTCCGGTGAGAGCAGCGCCCGCGCAGCCGCCCGAGTTGCCCCCGGCACCACCGCTGATCAGCGGTGCCTGGAGGCGCCCATGCATGCCGCGCCGAACACTGCTCCGCTACCAACTGTGGCAGCAGCAGGATAAGCAGATGCATTTTGGCCTTGAGCCATAAAGCGGCAACCACAATACATCCTTCCCTGAAACACGTGCGAACAAACCTGGCCTCCCGTGAGCTGGAATGTTGGGCTTCACGGGAAAGAACATTATGCTAAACCTATATCGATAAAACAGGAGCGTCTCCACACAACGCACAGGTGACCCCCCCAGCGGGTGCCTCGACATGAGTTGGTGCATTCGTGCTCCATGTGCTTCCCGTGTGGCGCGCAACGCGCAGGTGACCCACGTCCTCGAGGCAACGCCCGCCCGCGAAGGAAGGAAAGCGAAAGAGGGCGGCGGCGGCGCCCCCCAAAGACGGCCAAGGGAACCCCGCTTGGCCTTCGTCCTTTAGGGCCACGCCCGCCCGCAAACTGTTAACGGGCGAAGAACGGTGTAACATAAACTGTTTCGCTGTCGGGGGCGCCTGTCCCTGGGCGGCTGGAAAGTTTATACCCTTACAGTGGCACCGTAGGGGTACAAACTTTCCAGCCGCCCAGGGACAGGCGCCCCCGACAGCGAAAAAGTGTATTTTACACCGTTCTTCGCTCGCTGACATTGGGCCACGGGCGAGGACGCAGGCGACGCGCCGGAGAATTGCCAAAAGGGTACCTTTCTGGCCCGCGTCCTTCGAACTGCCCCCCAGGGGGACGCCCTGCCGCGCAGGCCTGAGGGGCTGACCAGTGGAACAGGCAGAGGGCACGCCGAAGAGGCAAGGGCACAAGGGTACCCTCGAAGAGGCGCGCGTCCTTGCTGTGCGCGTTGACTGCAGATACCCCGAAGGTGGTCCAAGAGTCGATCTCTCTTGGAGATTCTGCGGGGCGCCTTGAAAGGAATGAACGGCTGCTCCAGGTTGGAACCTCACAGGCCAAGACACAGGCGATACTTCGACGCAATCAATTTTCTCTGCCGCCTGGACCTGGCGCCAACAGTGCTCCCCAGCCGGGCCCCAGACCTCCCCCACCTGGACAAAAAAAGGGCGGAGAGTACTGATACGAGCGAAAAGTGTTACTAGTGGCAACTGTGGTGTACCACAAGCCGCGTCCTTCGTCGACGAGTTGCCCCGCCTGAGCCCGCTCCCAGCGAGAAGTGCTGACGTGAGTTGGAAGACATCGTGGAGGCATGCTCGGAACACTCACCCGAGTCGCTTGCAGGTGAACGGGTGGACTCGATCGAAAGCGGCACAACCTGATCGAGGGACGAGCGCATCAGGCACCGGGCGGGACTAGGCGGTGCAAACCTCGGAACCGCATGCAGCGCTGGCAACTATGCTCGTCCCCTCATCTCCCACCCTTCGAGTAGGAGGATCGACTACAGAGTTGATTTACCCCAAGATTGATTTTCCGTCGAATCTGTAGGACTAACAACTACGCATGTATGTTCGCACTTTTGGCGAACTTTTTCTCTGTAGGGTACATCGAATATGCAGTCGATCTCCTACTCGAATCCTGCCCCGCCCTCTCTGCGGGTGGCGACAGCTTGGGCGGCGAGAAATGCGGGGGCGAGAAATGGGGGGGCAGCGAGGGCTGCAGAAGAGGGACCCTTCGGGGCCTCGGAAGTGGCCCTCCGGACCCCAAAATGGGCCCTCGGGTCCTGACAAGGGCACCTCTCTCCCCCCGCCCAATGGCCCATTGATCGTCCCCCTCCCATGAATTCGCGCGCACACACACACACATCAGGGTCGGCCAAGAGGGGGGGGGTCCAAGAGGGGGGGGGCGCAAATCATGACCGGCGGCATGTGCGCGGCCCAGGGGGGGCCAGGGACATAACGAAATAAGAAGAGGCGCCATGAAATCTGAGGGGATATCATGGCCCACGTCATGATATCCACCCCCCCCTAGTCATCACCCCTCTCTTTGCCGTCCCCGAGTTATCGTCCCCCCCGCCCATTTTCAAGGAAGGAAAACCACCCTGATCCGAAATTGGCGTTTACTGCGCGGCCCTGGGCGTTTACTGAACAGCCCTGCCCTGTTTGATTCCTTCTTTGGGTGCGTTTGCTAAACGAACTCGCGTGTCGGGGTGATCTCTGTGGGGGTGGATCTTCTGCTCTCTACATTTATCGTCCCCCCCATGGATTCGCGCCCACGAAGCGGGATCTCCTCCCCCTTCGGGAGCAGCCTCTCGTACCCCTTCATCTCGTCGGCCTGGCGCCGGGGGGCTCGGCGGGGGCAGGGGGGCGCGCATGGTGCGCGCCCGGCGCAGGCCCGCGACCAGAGAGGCCCAGCAGGGAGGAGGGAGGGAGGGCAGAGGGTGGGGAGGGGACGAAGGGGGCGAGGAGGGTGGAGGAGGACAGGAGGAGGAGGAGGAGGAGGAGGAGGAGGGAGGAGGGAGGAGGAGGAGGAGGAGGAGGAGTCAGGAGAAGGAGGAGGAGGAGGGGGGAGGAGGAGGAGGAGGAGGAGGAGGGGAGGAGGAGGAGAGGAGGAGGAAGAGGTAGGAGGAGGAGGGAGGAGGAGAGGAGGAGGAGGAGGAGCAGGAGGAGGAGGAGGAGAGGGAGGAGGAGGAGGAGGAGGAGGAGGAGAGGAGGAGGAGGAGGAGGAGGAGGAGGAGGAGGAGGAGGAGGAGGAGGGGGAGGGGAGCTGGGGGAGGAGGAGGAGGAGGAGGAGGAGGGAGGAGGAGGAGGAGGAGGACGAGGGGAGGCAGGATGGAGGAGGGAAAAGGGTCGGCACGCAGATTGAATGTTGAGTTCGATGGTCTCCGCCCGCCTTGCCAGGCGGGTGCCCCCCTGAGCTCTCTGACGACTTGGGACAGGGCCAGTGGGGGCATAACGAATCATCGGCGAGCCTGAAGTTCCCTTCGTAGGTGGCCACATGCGAGCCCTACCCCTGCCACCCAAAAATTTCGGAGGGGGGAGGCGAAGTGAACCCCACCCTCCCCCTCAGAAATCGTGGGGGGTAGGGGTAGGGTTCGCATGTGGCCCCCCCCACTTCGGGTGCCTTCCCTCCATGGCAGCGCTGTAACTGGAGAGCCCCACCACTGTTCAGGCACACCCTGGAGCAATCCGTGTGATGAACCTCAGAAGTCAGATTCGCTGAAGGAGCCGCATCTGCGGCAGAGCAAAATGCTGAGGGGAACGCTGTCGTTCAAATACCAGAGTAGTAGATATCGTGGCATCGGGGATTGGCGGACAGGGCAGAGTGGTGCTTACAATATCCTAGACAAAGCTCGCTGCACCTGGTGTCAAATATTCTCTCTCGCTGCCACATCTGACTCTGCACGCCGCACATATCCACCTGCTTCCTAATCCCACAAGCCCTTTCGGGCTAAGGTGGTCCAGCGAGTTCTCTCTGGGTCTGGTGGGGGGGGCGGAAGGGTTGGAGCGCCCAAGATGGCTCCAAGATGGCCTCCGATGCTCCAAGATGGCCTCTAAGGCGGCTCAAGCTAATCGAAGATGGTTCAATATAGCTTCCGACATACTTCCAACAGGTCCGACGAGGGCCACAAGACGTTTCTGAGTGCTCTCGAAACCCCACCCCACCAAGAGGCCAAACTCCGTCAAACACCATAGGACAAGTGATGGTTACCTTCGCGCCTGTTTGGTTCCGATGCGCGTCTGGGGTCTCAGAATGGCCCCAAGATGGCCCACGAGAGGCCCAAGCGGGGCGCAATAACCACCCGAAACGGCCCCAAGACCGTTCCGAATCGGCCCAAAAGCGTCCCATGAGCGCCCCAAGAAGCGAGTTCCCCGGTGTCCTTGATTTTCGTTCCTTCCTTGGGCTCCTCAGGTTCCCTGGGGTTCCTCCGGCTCCTCGCCCGGGCTCCTTGCTCGGGTCCCTCGGTTTCCATCTGCAGAGCACGGCCAAACAGCGGCTCCAGGCAACAGATCTTGGATCAGGCACGGGCGGCCCGTTTTGATTTCGAACTGTTATCTGGCAGGGGTAACGTGGGTGACCTGGCCCGTGCGGCGCACCTCGTGGGCGTGGCGCACCCGGCTGCCGTCTGCATTGGCTGCCGCTGGTTGTCGATGGCGGCCCCTGCCTGTGCTGTGCTGAGTCCCTGGTGTTAGCTCATGTGTTGCGGGGGCGGGTGAGAGTGAGAGTCACGACCGTCCTTCGGGGGGGCAGCTTGATCAGCATTCCTGATGCATCCCACCAGCCCGCTATGGCGTTAGTGGTTCAGAGCGTGTCTTTCTCCGATCCCTCTTCGGGGAAGGGTTCACCCCTCCCCCTACCCCCCCCCTGGACCTGGACGGGGCGCCCCGCGACCGATTGGAGCGTCCAAGACGGCCTCGGCGAGACGGCAAAAATCATTGATGTTGCTTAAGCTTGAGGCCAATGTTGGCCTCCTGTGGGGGGGGGCTGTGACGCCCCCTCTCTTTTTGATCGATCTCCTCATGGATGGCCCCAAGATGGCCCCCAAGGCACCCAAGAGTGCCCCAAGAGGCGCCCAGGAAGCCCCAAGAGGCCCCAGAGGCTCTCCCGAGGCACCCAAGACGCTTCAAGAGGCCCCCAGGACCGCCAAGAGGCCCCTAGGACGCCCCAAGATGACTTCAAGCTTCCAGGAAACATCTGGAGAGACTCCGAGAGGCTTCCTAGAGGCCTCTGGCAGTTCTGCTCGCCCACCTCCTCCTTCTCCTCCTTCTAATCCACCACCACCTCCACCGCCGCCTGTTCCTCCTTGTCCCTCCTCCGTTTTCCAGCCCTCCCCCCTCCTCCCCGGCGGCGCGTGCTGGTCCCTCCCGCGGCGAGCGCACGGTGATCGGAAACCAGCAAAAACGTTGCTTTCAAACTGTGGTGCTCGCCTTGGCGCCGCGCACATGCGCATCAGACGTTTGCAACCGTTTCGCGGAATCGCACGGTTGAATCCCAGGGAATGCGGTGCTGGTGCGATTTCGGATTATCGAGACGCGCCAGTCACGTTGGCTCGCGGTGTTGAAATCTCAGGAGCGGTGGTCTGACACGATTTAGGTTCGTCATGACGCAACAACCATGTTGGTTCGCGACGTTGAAATCCAAAGAACAATGCTTTGGCACAGTGGAGGGTTCTCAGACAGCTGTCTTCCAATGGGGCACTTCCCGCAATGAACGTAAATTCTTGTAATGACCTATGAAAGAGGGAACTTCGAGGGAAGGTATATTGCAACAGCCTCGATGCGTCTTGGGTTTACACTTGTCCTGCTCCACCTCCCCCTGTCCTGCTCCTTACGAATACCACAACTACCCCTAAAACAATGGCACTGCTATCGATACTACCCCTACAACCACAAGTACTACTGCTCCGCTACTCCAACTATTACCGTTACTACTACCACTGCGCCTACTACTCCTGCTGCCACCGATATACCCACCGCCTTCACCATTGCCACTACCACTCTAGAACCTAGCATTGCCGCTGCCTCTGCCTCGACCACCAGAACACCACCACTACCATCACTACAACTCAAACGACCTCGAAGAGAGGCACCGAGTACGCTGTTATAAAGGCCAAGGAACGTACGTAAGCAACTCACAAGCCGCAAGTCATTCCGGCACGCTGCCGTTAAAAAGCCACAGAGACAGCTGATCATGGGAGCCGCTGAACCGAGAATCAGGAAAATACGTTCTCAACTTTAGTATCCGCTTCACGCTTCTGTTCCTGTTTCTCCTCCTCACTGTCCTCTTCTCGCCCGTTTTCCCTTGTCTAATTATAATGTCATTTCTCCTCGACTCGCCTGCCCTCCTGTAGTTTTATTACCCTCTACGTCAACTGCTATGGTAACCGCTCTCTTGACACATTTTTGTTGATCCCGTCTGGCCATCGACGCCCAGTCGGACCCATCGACAAGCTGCACAATCATGCACGTGATGTTGTCGCGACTGTTCCTCTCGGGGTGGGCTAGGTGAAGCGAAGCGCAGGCGGGGAGGAAAGTACGACAGAGCACAGGAGCTCGGACAGGTGGCGAAGAAAAACATGTCGTGAGAAGATGCCCGCCTAGGCTTAGGTCGGGCATGTCCCCCTACAGGCGGATTTGTACGAAAAAAAAGGAAACAGCACGAACAAAGAATCGAATAATCTTCCAAAAATCGTCCCCAGTCTATTTCTAAATATTTTTGGATATCCCTTCTGCCGAGGGACAGGCCCGACTTAACTGTAGGCGTCCAGTGAAGCGTCCTCGGGCCCTTTCAGATTCTCTGCGCTGGGTACGGTGAATGCCCTGCCAAGGGCCCAGACCCCCAGACAGCATTTTCGGTGTCGCTGGACTTTCCTGGAGGGGCCCTGGGGCACACGAATACATGGACACAAATGACAGGATTCACCATATTTGTCCATACTTTCTAGGTTTTTGTCATCCCCCCATTTGCCATATTTTCCAATATTTTCTGGGGGATCGACGATTAACTGTGTCTGTGTGTGTTTTTGTTCCCTCCTGAGTTCCTGGACTTCTTGGGAGCGTGGCTGAGGACTAGTATGTCGTCTCCTGAGATGGCCCCAAAGGCCGTCCCAGTGATCTCATGGGAATCCGGACCCAAAGCAAAAATCATAAAAAACAGGCACGTCTGGCGTCTGACTATTGTTTTCTCGGCTTTGTGGTCTGAATGGCAAGCGCCCCAAACAACCAAAGACGTCCCGCAACAGAGCCCCAATACGGTTCCCAAGAGCAGCCCTGCTGGGGGAAGTCGGGAGCGGCCAAGAGGGGGTGTCCAAGAGGGGGGGGTGCAAATCCGCCGACCCCTTGGGGTTCATCGGCGTGTGAGATCTCCCCCCTCCCCAAACCCCTCCCCTGGGAGCCCGGTCCGGTCGATTTGGAGGGGGGGGGGTCTGTTCAAATTCCCCGGCTGCCCCGGGGAACACATCCGCTCCCGAAAATCCTACAGGGACTCCTCCGGTGGCCTCGAAATGGCCCCGGGACGCACCACGACAGCTCAAGAGGACCTCCACGTGGCCTTCGGTGGCTCCAAGATTCCCCAATATGGGGCTCAAGACAGCCCACGATGCCTCCAAGACGCTCCAAGAGGCCCCGAAGGGGCGCTCCAAGAAGGTCCATGACGTCCCAAAAAGGTCCCAAAAGGCGCCCAAAACGGCC